TCTCTCCCCCTGTCGGGGCCCCCCTGGGGCGGGGAAGGGCCGGCCGGGGAGGGGGCGCGGGGCCTTTGTTAGGGAGCCAGGCCCCAGCCCCCGGGACAATAGAGACACCCTCCCAGACTCCTCTCCCCGCCGGCCGGGGCTGTTGGCGGTGGGCAAGGAGAGGGGCCGGGGCGCGTCCCACTCTGCCCACTCTCCGGGGGTCGGCCTGTCCCGTACCGGCGCCGGCCTCCGGCAGCTCGGCTCTCCCCCCCCCAGTCGGTATGATGCAGCAGCAGTGCCGCAGGGACGGGGGAAGAGCCGAGGCCCGGTCTCCTACCCTTCCCAGTGCCCCTGGCTCATTCGTCAGTCCCCACCCCACTCTAGGCCAGCGACTCCTTAAACTCGTACCCACCGTTCAGAGGGGCCCCGGACTGTGGGCGCTCTTTCTGAATCCTTTGGTGGGGGTTCCTGGACTTTGGGGCTCTTGGAGAGACTTCCGGGCTGCTCCTGAGGGAGGGAGAGTGGTTATCGGAAAGAACAGATAAGGGGAGTGCCCACTCCTGGCATGCCATCCCACCGCCTCTACACCTCTCTTGCTCAGGGTGGCTAGAAACGTCCCTTTAGTGCTAGGCGTCTATGGGCTCTGCCCCTTTTCTGGAGTGACAGGCTTATTTCAAGGGACAGCAGAGTGGGGTGAAGGTTTTAGGGTCTTAGGGCCATTCCTACTTCTGGTAGCAGTACCCCCCCAAGTGGACATCCTGGCTGAAAGCAGAGGTGACTCTGAGGAGAGCCTTTAGGGAAGGGGGTTGTATTGAGGAGTCTGTGCAGTTCTTTGCCACACCCTGTGGGTTTGCTTTGAGGCCTGAGAGTTCCTTCTCCTCCCCCTGCTGCATTGCACCATGGGTATCAAAGAGGGGTTTGAGTTTTGGGGACCTGGGGTGAGCTGCTGCCTCCTATAGATCCAAACTGATTGGCAGTGGAGCCCGGGGCCTGAGTGCAGGCCTGGGGCCTGAGTGCAGGCCAGCTTTGGGTCTCAGGCCCTGAAGGACCATCCATACTCACTGAGCCTGGGCCCTGGGGAGGGAGGTACCCTGATGGCAGGATTATGCGCTGGGCAGCGAGGTGGGGAGGGGAGGTGACAGTCTTCAGAGGTGCCTTGGACTCAGACCAACACCCCCACCCCCATGTGTGCAGCCGTGTTGCCGCCCGCTGTGCTATGAGCAGTCAGAGCGCCGTCTCCACAAGAGTTTACAAATGAAAATGGAGGAAATGTCTTTGTCTGGCCTGGATAACAGCAAACTAGAGGTGAGGGCTCCCCCACGTGTGCCTCTAGTTCTTTCTCTTGATGTCTCTACGTTGCTATATCTGGCATCCACGCCAAAGAGGAATTTGGGTAGTCAGCCTTGTTCCTTAAAGGGAATGGCCAGCTGAAAAGGCCCAAGGATCTGGAAGAAGAAAGAACACAAAGTCAAGATGGGGAAAATGGCAAAGCATGATTTTTGGCTGGGGACAGTTGGCAGATTTAGTTGGTGAAAGTTGCAGTCAGTCCGGGGGGCTGTGACTCTTGTGACTGTGGATGTTCTCCCTGGGGCCTAGGCCATCGCTCAGGAGATATACGCGGACCTGGTCGAGGATTCTTGTTTGGGCTTCTGCTTTGAGGTACACCGTGCTGTCAAGTGTGGCTACTTCTTCCTGGATGACACGGACCCTGATAGCATGAAGGATTTTGGTGAGCTTCACGGTTGGAGGAGAGCAGTTTTAGCTCTGCCCTGGGAGTGCTGAGTTCCTTCTCTGGAAACTGCCCTAGGCAGAGTCTGGAGCTCCTGTGAGCTTAGACGGGGTTTGAAGAGGCCATGGCACCATGGGTGGGAAGAAGAGGTGAGGGTCCCTGGCCTGCCCTGATCGCCACGCCTCTCCTGTCCCCAGAGATCGTGGACCAGCCGGGGTTGGACATCTTTGGACAGGTTTTCAACCAGTGGAAGAGCAAGGAGTGCGTTTGCCCCAATTGCAGCCGCAGCATTGCTGCTTCGCGCTTTGCACCCCACCTGGAGAAGTGCCTGGGAATGGGTCGGAACAGCAGCAGAATTGCCAACCGCCGGTGAGGTCCTCTCCCCCACTACAGCCAGAGCGGCAGCCTGTGCCATGGTGTAGTCCCTGGGGCCATCTGTAGGGCACAGAGGGTGGGTCGTCCTTGCTCCCCTCTACCTCTGAAGCTGGAGGCAGGGAGGGCTGGCCTTCTTGACCCTTTCTCTCCCCTACTCTTGGCAGGATTGCCAACAGCAACAACATGAATAAGTCTGAGAGTGACCAAGAGGATAATGATGACATCAACGACAATGACTGGTCCTATGGCTCAGAGAAGAAAGGTGTTTGGGGATCTGGGGACACTCAGGGGACATCGGGATGAGGTGGGCAAGCAGGAATTGGGTATACAGTGATCACCAGTTGTTTTCTGGAGTGATGGGGGGAGAGTGTAGTTTTGTACTTTGCTTTAGGCACCCTTGGATCAAGAGCTTCAGGTAACCCCACTCTTTATCCTCTCTCCCCCACAGCCAAGAAGAGAAAATCAGATAAGGTAAGAGCTGGGACAAGCATGGTGGAAATTTGGGCAAAGGACAAATCCCCTCCCCTTTGGGCAGGGAGTCCTTGGGTGTCTTGTCTCAAGTCTGAGGTCATTGAAGACCTCTCTGGGTGTTGGGATGAGGGTGTCTTTGGTGGGCAGGGGGTACAGCAGAGGCCTTGAGGGATGGGGATGGGGATGTGGGTAGACAGGCCTCTTACTTGGGAGGAAGAATAGGAATTTGAGGATGTTTCTTTGTCAAATCTTTTTTCCTTCCCTGGGTTCTCGGCTCCCCCTTATCGTTACCCTTTCCCCAAAGCTATGGTATCTCCCATTCCAGAACCCCAATTCCCCTCGAAGATCCAAGTCTTTAAAACACAAAAATGGTAAGTAGGGCTAGAACACTGCAGTGCTTTTAGCTGTGTTTTCTGGGACTCATTGCTGGGGGTTGGGGGGGCAGAGGGAGTGGGGGTGTTGAGGGGAGGGCCTGTGATCCTTCTGTCACCCCCACTTCCTTTCTGGTTATTTTCAGGGTTCTCTGTCTGTACCTCTGCATCAAACACCCTTCCCCTTCTTTTTTCTTCTTCAGGGGAACTTAGCAATTCGGATCCTTTTAAGGTGAGGAAAGGCTGCCCCTCATATTCCCTCTCATGGTCCTTGTTGGGGGTTGGTTGGGATTTGGACAATGGAGACTGGAGTGCTGACAGCCAGGAGCACTAGAAGGGATGTCTGAGTCTTGTGTGGCTCTGTTCCTTCTGGGTCCTAGCCCCTTGTCTGCTCTAGGATGAAAGGAATCACTTGGACACTGCTAGGCAGTCCCAAAGCCTCCCACTTAGAAAAGGATGAGAGAAACTGGTTCTCCATGCTCACTGTGCATCCCATTTTTTGCTTCACCTCTCTAACTTGGACTTCTGGTTCTCCCACAGTATAACAACTCAACTGGGATCAGCTATGAGACCCTGGGGCCAGAGGAGCTGCGTAGCCTGCTCACCACGGTGAGGGACCAAAGAAGGGGAGGTCTGTGGGAGTGGGCTGGAGCCTTGGGCAGTGGCCTGGAGAGGCTGGCGACATAGCAGTCAAAGCCATGTGGTCCTCTCTCTGGAAGTACGGTTTTAGCCCACAGTGGTCTGGCCCCGTCTGCTCTGGACACCTCAGGGCTATTTCTGCGTGTGCAATCTAGCATTTTACAGAAAGGAACTTCTAGTGTCTAGAGTAGGGTCCCCTCCATCCCTCCTTTCAGCTTATATTCCTCTTCCAGCAATGTGGGGTGATTTCTGAACACACGAAGAAGATGTGCACAAGGTGAGCACAGAACCTAGAAAGGGGGCCCAGGGGCCCTCCTGCCCACTCACCCTGGGCATGGGTCGGGAGTACCCCTGGACTTGAGCAGTGGGGCTCCCGCCCTTCCCCTCCCCTCCTCCAATGGTCAGGCCTTAGGCCACAGTCTTGGGGCTCTCCATTCCCTGTCTGTGTCCATCCTCCCTCCTCTGCTAAGGAAGGGGCTTTACCCAAGTTCCTCAGAAACTTCCCTGCCTTTTCAGAGCCTGATGATTCTGTCCCCACCAGGTCCCTGCGGTGTCCCCAGCACACGGATGAGCAGAGGCGTACTGTGCGGATTTATTTCCTTGGGCCCTCAGCGTAAGTGACCCTCCGAGAAGGGCGGTGGTGGCGGCCGGTTGTGATAGTCGTCGGTTTCCTTCAAGCCCTCTGGCTCCTTCCCTTCTCAGCGTCCTTCCGGAGGTGGAGAGCTCCCTGGATAACGACAGCTTTGACATGACCGACAGCCAGGCCCTGATCAGCCGACTTCAGTGGGACGGCTCCTCTGATCTCTCACCCTCTGATTCAGGCTCCTCCAAGACGAGCGAAAATCAGGGATGGGGTCTAGGTACGTGATGTGGTTGGGCTCCAGGGTTACTCATCCTGTAGCCGTGGGCCACCCCTCTCCTGCCACTACTCTACCTTCATCCCTTGTGCCTCTTTTTCTATAGGTACCAACAGCTCCGAGTCACGCAAAACCAAGAAAAAGAAATCCCATCTGAGCCTGGTAGGGACTGCCTCCAGCCTAGGCTCCAACAAGAAGAAGAAGCCAAAGCCACCGGCACCCCCGACGCCCAGCATCTACGATGACATCAACTGACTTGGGTGCAAGGGATAGCCTTTGGCTGAGCAGAGCCCTCTCTCCTGACCCCCACCCAGGTGGCAGAGCCTGGCGAATGGACGGCTGCTGGGGGTTTGGGCTTGGGAAGCTTGGTGGGCCAGGCGGGCAGGGGATCCAGTTACATGCCCCTGGGGGGCATCAGGGTCCTCTGCAGTGGAGCACGACCCCTCGGCGTGCAGGACTCAGACCTGGACATATTATGCCTTGGACATAAGTTCGGTGGGGAGGCAGTTTTCCTATTTATTCTGTGAGTTACTGGATGTCCAGCCAGGCCAGGGGCCTGACCTGGGCACTGTGCCAGGGCACTGCCTGCCCCCCACCCCAGGAACTGGACTAAGCCCTGCCGAGGGGCACTGTGGCTACCCGGGAGGCTGTGGGTTCTAAGTTGAGCCTGGAGGGGCCTCTCCTGGCTGCCCTCAGCAATGTGAATGGGTCCGGTGCTTGGAGCTGAGGGGCAGGGCTGGGCATGTCCTGTCTGTGTGCAGAGTCCTATCAGATGCCCCCAATCCCAGGGGCAGGCAGGCACACAGTGCTGCCTGCTAGGGTGGGCGTCCAGAACTGCCGCCGCCTTCCCTGCCCCTCACAGGGGCAGCCCTTTCCCCTCAGTCCCCACGGGCCTCCTTGGCAGCAGGAGCTGTCCTTTTGTTGTTGGGTGCCAGGAAAGGGCCTCCAGCCTCTACAGCTTCAAGGAATGGGAAAGGGGAGGGTAGGAAGAGGGAGCTGTGTATCAAAATTACTCCCCCCCTCCCTCTCCTCCCTGACCCAGGGCTGGTGAGGACTGGGGCCCCAAGGTGAGAGGGAACGGTGCTGCTTTATTTGAAATGTTTTCTTACCTCATTCCCTGCCCCAGGAAGGGGCCCAGCCTCACCCTCCTGGGGTTGCCCCATGATCCTCCCGCCTACCCTGCCCCACTGCCCTGCAGGGGCAGCCTGAGTTCCCAGCTGCTGCTTGCCATCCCTTCACCTTGACCAGCTTTGGTTCCTCTCTCAATGCTCCTGCCTCCAAAGCCTGCCCTGTGTCCCCTTCCTTAGCCGCTTTTAAGTTATTTATTCTGTACTTGTGGTTCCGGGCTCTGAGGAAAATCCTGATCTTGTACCTCTCCCCCTTTGCTAGAAGTGGGGTGGGAAGAGGGTGGTCTCTGTGCTTTGGGTTGTCAGCAGGGGAGAAGAGGCGTCCCTGCCCCTCTGTGGGACTGTTATGCCAGTGTGCCCACTTGCCTGGTCTACATCTGATGAGATGTACCGTCCCACCCTGCGCGGGCACCACCTCTCCCAGGAGCCGAGCTGGAAGACCGCAGTCTGGGCTGGGAACAGAGCTGACTGACAGGGGGGACAGAGTTGACCCTGAGCCAAGTTCTCTGGCACTTGCTGGATGTGTCCCCTGCCCTCCTCCCAGGAGGAGCCATCCCACATTTGGGTAGAAAGTACCCAGGACTGGTTGGACTGATTTGGGTTAGGGACCCTAGAGGGTTAAGGGAACAACAGAGATAGGGCTGCAGTGTCCTGTCTGGAACCCCAATCTTCCCTGGGGTTATTCTGATTGTGGCCGATGCCTGGTTACAAATTGGTTTTTAACCCAAGAATTGTGCTTATTTTTTAAAAGCCAAACAAATTTTGGCAGGAGTTAGAATAAATCCTGGGGCCTGGGTTCCTCTGTTCTTGGCCCTCTGCAGAGGGAAAAGAGGATCTCAGTGAGCCTCCAGCCTGCTTCCAAGGGAGGTCTTGGGAGGAGGCTGAAGGTGAAGGGAGGAAGGCCGGGGGGCCACTCTCCCTTCCATGAGGCAGCTGCAGCTCAGGCCCTAATACCTTTTCCCCTCTGGCCTCTCCCTTTCCCCCTTCTAGTTGGAGGAGGGAGAAGGGAAAAGTAGTTTGGGAACTGGTTTGTCCACATAAACTTCCCCGTTGTTCCTTGGCCACCCTCAGGGCAGAGCCCCCTGCCCAGGTTGGGTAAGAGATGGGCTTGGTCCAGCAGGGACCCTGAGGGAACAGACCCCTTTCCTTCTGGGGAGAGTGTGCCCCCCTACCATGTAGTTGAACAGGGGCTAGGAGCTCCCCACTCCCCTCCCTCTAACAGCAGGCTGTGTGGGTTTCAATTCCCATCCTTCCCACCCTGGCTAGGTGTCGTCCACCCTGTATCCTATCATGTGTCTGAGTGTGTGGGGGGGGTTCTGTACTAATTTCCATGGCCGGTGGCTTTTCCTTCCATGCATCACTCCCCCCCGCATGCCCAGGGGCCACCCGCCTGGCATTACCGCATGCTGGGGTCATTGGGGGAGGGGGGTGGGGCTCACGCTGTCCTGTGGTCTTGAGATTTTTATTTTTGCATATGTAATCCATCCTGTACAGGTAGCTAACTTTGTAAACGCTGTGTATTCCCTCTGCCCCCATGGCTGCTGGTGTAAATAAACTGCATCTCCCGTTGGTAGCCCCAGCCTACCCACCCTCATTACCATGTTGCTGGGGGCAGAGCAAAGCTATTCTCTAAGGTCACAGAAGGAAGCTCCACTGCCACAAAATGGAACTTTATTCAGTCACAGACACTGACCCTCCATCCAAGAGGCCCAGAGGCAAGGGCCTAGGGCCTAGTGATCCATACCCACAGCTTGTCCTTGGAGCTGGGCAGGGTAGGGCGCTGGCCAAGGGCCAATGCTGTCTTGCTTACAGCCTTAGGCCTAGGGTAGTAGCAGCTGTGGACTGGCCTCTCCCAATGCTGGGGGCTTGGCTTTGTGCCCCAACCCCCTTCCTGACCGAGCTCTATAAAAGACTATTTAAAAAGAAAAAAAAAATGCAAGCAAAAGTGCTTTGAAAGAAAGAACACAGGAACTTTCCAGAACAGAGAATACCCTATTCCTGCTACAGGGTTGTAGAGGGAGAAGGAGAAGGCTGAGAGGTGCCT